CCGGACGAAAAGAAAAGCGAAAACAGTATCTTCGCGGATACAATCACGTAGAAGGCGTCGGCACTTCCGTTGTTCTATCCACAGAACGCTGTAGGGCGCGCGTGAGTACAGGATTAGCACATCTTAATCAGCCCGACAAGGCGACAGAGCCGAAGTAGTGTGGCAGGTGGTGCAGAAGCACCCTTGAGCTGTACAGCGGCCGATGACGCAACCCGAGGGAGACGTCCTAGCAGTGTAGTAAAAGTCGCTCGCAAATGTCGCCGTAAAAGAGTGAGGAGTACACGTGCAGCAAAACGTAGGGAGGAAAGAGGTGGCAAGCAGCCGGGTGTAAGAAAGAGGGGTAGAACATTGGCCAGTTCAACGAAAAGGCCTTTGTGGCATGCGGTAAGGCACAGGTGGCGCAACGGTCGGCCATGGCGGGCATCCTTGCGACAGAATGCACGCCGGAGACTTACAGCTTTGCGGGGACGGGAGTGTCGAAGGGGTCCTAAAAGAAACGCCACAGTAGCTAAACACTGCACGGGAGCGAGCCCCAAGAGGGCATGGCCACTCTTTCCCTCGCATTGCTCTGGTCCCCTCCGCGAACCTGACAGAGACAGGCTGAAATCGCTGAGTGCGCCATTCAGCTGGTAGCTCATACGCGTCGTCGTCTCAGGCGTTCTCGATATCCGCCAAAACCTCAACCGCCGCGTGTACGATTAAAGAGTGAGGGACAGCTGTAAGCTAGAGTGTGGGACACAGAAGTTTTTTTAGAAACGTGTTTGTTTATTTTTGGTTATAAAGTAATATTCATGCGTCGTCTCCATGACTTCTTTGCTTATATAGTTTTTTTCACTTCAAGGTTTTCTGTAAGCGTTAAGAGTTTTAAGTTAGGCATTATGCGGAATCAGTGACCCGCATCAGTCAGCCAACGGCGTGCAATAAATTTTTCTTTCATATAAGTACACGTTAGTGGAGAATGAAGATTTGTACGCCCCGCTAATTTTGAAAGCGTGGTAGCGTTGTCAAGTGGAGCCGTTGTCTGTATGCTTCGTACTTTTTGTTATGTAGCGGGAGGTTGTGCACTGTCTTGAAAGGTCAGATGAGCATTTATTAGGAATGATTCAGAATAAAACAAGAGGTGATATTCGAAATGCTCATACTTAAAAATATTTGGTACAGGGTTTTTAGCGCAAAGCTTACGCAAGTTTTCTTAGGTGCTCATGACGTGTACGGCATCTAGCGTTCTTTTTTATTTCGTGTTGTTATTTGTGAACATTTACGTTCAGATGTGTGTTTAGTGGTGCCTAGGTTATAAGAATATGACCTATGGTTAGGTGCGTGTTGGTATGCTAGCGCTCTTTGGATGAGAGTATGATGTCGTGCTATAGCACACAGCAAAGTCCTGTGCGTCCTTTAAAAGCATGGGCTGACGTGAGGCTACATCCAGCAAATGAGCGTGTTAGTGCATGAATTGTATTTCGTTTTGTTATTTTAGTGAGTGCTTATAGAAATCATGTGATCTTTTGAGCTGAGCGATAAGCTTACCGAATGATAAGGTAAGGGGCACGTTTTAAGGAGTTATAAGTCACAGTTCGATTTGTTGTGAGAGAGTTTTAATTGGCGTCAGGGTGCCTCCAAGTAGGTACGCACAACTACGTTGTGAAATATGTTCAGAGAGAATTAAAAATGCGCCCAGTTACCTTGTGTAGGTTAAGGCAGCATTCCTGTGAAACCATTGTTGTCAGTTGTGTTTCATTAAGTAGCCATGAAGTTGGCAGATGTAAGTTAACCTAGAAGTGCGGGTGGTAGGAGAAAACTAGTTTTGAAAGAGTGTGTTTATGGTTATCTGGGCCCAAATTGTATTTGCTTTTGTGTGCTTTTCTCGCACGGCAAATTGTTCCATCTTGAGTGGACATCTCCATATCCGTGAATATTGTAACTTTGGCGGCAGAAAATTTTATCGAAATTTTAAAGTAGAATTCGTTTGTGTTGCTTGAAAAGCCTGGAGGGTTTTAAGCGAGTCCATTGCATTTGACTGAGGCATGGTATTGTGTTGTGTGTTTCACCTAGCTGTTGTCGATCATTGTGAGGTTGTTTGGGAGTTGGTTACGAGTTCGCAACTGGAGGTTCCAAGCCAGGTCATCGTCCTCGTCACCAGCCATTCTCTTAATTCCCAGCGGTTGGGATCGCTGGCCAGCCTAGATTTTCCGGGCGGCGGAGAAGCTGTTACGTTTGGCCCAGCAATTCGTCTGGGCAGACGCCATTGTGCGTAAGCTGGTCTGCTAAAATGCTTTCAACCCCATCGGCGCCCAGTCTGCAAGACGCTATCCTGTAGATATTCCAGGTAGCAGTCGGGTCTCAACGAAAACTTCGCGAAACAAGCCTTTTGTTGAGCGGGCTAGAACAACGTGGGACGGCGCCAGTATGACGGTTCTCTTGGAGTCAACCTCTCGACTCGGCTGTCGTCGCCGACGCGAAATTGCCACAAAATCACCGACAGCCCGGAAGCGTGAGAACGCGTCGAAGAAGCCGTTCTCAGTGATCGAGCGTTTGGACTGCCATGTTCGAGAGGGTTCTGGAAGCCTGTAGCTGAAAGCAGCCATGCACCGCTGCTGACGTTCGGGTCAGCGGCCAACTCCCCGGAGCAGCTCAACTTTCCCTCTCCGGGCTCTACCTTCTCGCCTTGTGATGCCTTCAAGACGTGGGCTGAATGCGTCATTGTGTGGAGCACTCGTGATGACCGTTGGAAATTTTCACCCACGTTCTTCTTCTCACGAGTGGCCCGATTTCTGCATCCTTTCTGGTGGGTGGACCATTGAGACATCGCGTCACCTGATTTGTGGGAAGAGTGGTCCCCCGCCTTCTTCGGCCCTCCATGTAAGGAGAGAAGGGGCTATAAAAGCCGAATACAATTTGTAAATAGGCGTGGAATCATGAGCTGAATCTTTGTACAGTTTTATCTTTCAACTACCATGTAAATAAACCATCGTTCTATAACTCTTAACGCGTCCCCTCACTGGCGAAGATCGGCTATGCGTACGATGGCGGGGAGCCAGCTACCTTAAAGAAGAATCCAGCCGTACCTGCCATGAACTTTTGAGCCCTTCACGACTAGTGGCTGCGGTAGGATGCCATCATCAACCTCCTACCCGTAACAAGGCAGCGGTTGGCAGCGATGAGATTCCATCACCAATCTCACACTCTTTACAGGTTGCATAGAACGGCGTTTTTATTGTTGTACTACAGAGCACCCCCTGGCGTACGCTGCCAACGAAGAACACGCGATCGTAGTCGCGCGATCGTTTCCCTCCTTCCGTACGTGTGACGTCAATCCTTCTTTTCTACAAGTAGCGCCCTCTATGGTCGTATTATTTGCATTTTTCAGCGTATAGTACAAGTACAACCCTCTATGGCGAGTTCAAGAATTAAAGAAGGGCGGTTACCCACAACGGGGACGCACAAGCCACGCCATAAGGAGCTTCGCCCCTAAAAAGTTATCTATGCAGATATAACGTGGCAGCAAAAAGCACACGACCAGGTTGATTGGCTCATCATGAGAGAAGCCCTCGCCTTGCAGTGGGCGTAGTCAGGCTGATGATCATGTTGATAATGATGATGACTTCTAATGCAGTTTAAACTCGTTTAGACGTAGCGATGACCAAGCTTGAAGTTCTGGCTTAATTTAAAATGTCAAATCATCGAAGGAACAACATTGTAGTCTCTTTTATTGGTTGGAATTGTAAAGTGAGCGGTACAGGTGACGTACGTTACTGCGCATGGGCACTTCGATATCCCTATCACGGGAAGCCCTCTATCCTTCTAAGCCCAGTAACCTGTCTTTTAGAGCCTGCGTGTACCTGTGATGCTAGCCAGGTATAGGGGCACGGAAAACGCATGACAGGCTACCGATATGTGATGAAGCGGAGAACGAATGCAGTGACTATTCGAGGAGGCCGACAGAGAAAGATGCGAGAAGATTATCAGTACATGCTATCTGCCGCAAAAACCATAAATCGACCAAGGTAATTACCGTCTTCACGAGCACCGCCAGGCACGCAAGAGCGTTGACGCGCCAACTCCTCTGTGCATGGACGTGGCGGGAAGCCTCGCTCAAGTGAAGCTAGTGCTTTTACTAGGGCGTGTTATTATTTTAACGATATAACGTTGAATCATTGGTGCATTGACGCACTGACATATAACATTAGATTGCACATGCTAAGACTGGCTCGTCTTGATTGAAATTGTGAGGAATCGAACATTTTATGTCTCAGTCGTGTCAGGACAAACTTCGCTCAATCGAATTTGGTGGTCAGATTATTTCGTTAATGGTTCACCGGGGTATGTGAAAAACCCTTCGTTACATAGGCGATTTCGTAAAATTGCGTTTTTCTGATCGAGGTTTGATTAGAGTGAACATTGTTGCTAGGAAAACACGTCGACCTCCTGTGATGACGTGTAGTGAGACCTCTAGGCTCGTGCTTTGATGCGCTATAATTTTTTGATGCGCTTTTTGATGCGCTCGTCCTTCGATTCGCTGTGAGTAAACCAGCAAAAAGAAAAATTCCGAGTATTTATGCATATTCGCACTAGTGTGAAAGCTTTGCTTTATTCTACGCCCTAAAAATTTATTACTAACCCTCATGCCATTATCATTCATGGCAAAAAATGATATTCTAAATTTGAGCGTTTTTGTTTAAAAACGTGAACTCTCAGAGGGTTTTAGAATATACTCCCAATAGCGATCGTAAACCAACGCTAGGCTTTACTAGTACGAGCAGCCGAGGCCAATGTTATTATCATTTTTTTTGCCTTTGCCTGACATATCCAATAATAATGTTAAAACAAGCTTGTTTTATTCTACATTAAGAAACAGACTCCAGCCTTTGCAGGATACAAATACCAGAAAAAAAAAAGGTTCACTTACGGCGAGAATACGAGTACTTCTGAAACAATACATGCCGTTTATTTGTTTGAAGCAAAGAATAAGGCTATATATTTCAGATTTGGAAGACTCTTTAACACGTAAGCTAGGCCGGAAAGCAGCCTGTTACATTGCAAGGGTAAGTTATGGAGCAAAACCACTTTTTAATCTGTTCCTCTTCCTTCATCAAGGAGGTGGCAATGGTGTATATGTACCATTCGTATGCGTGTTTTAGGTTGCTTAGTACAATTAAAGTATTGTTACGCCCAGTAATTTAAAATGAGTTCGTTTATATATCGCATAAGCTTTTTTGTTGCTGAGTTCGCCAATAATAATCTTACTATTTATTGGGGTTTCACGTTTCCAAAACGCCGTAGTGGAGGGCTCCGGAAATTTCAACCATTTATGATTCTTTAACGTGCACCTAAATCTAAGCAAATGGCCCTAGAGCATTTTACCCTGCATTGAAAATGCGGCCGCCACGGCTGGGCCGCCACGCCTCGACCTGCAGAACAGTAACTGAGTGCCTTAGCCACTAAACCACCATGACGGGTAGATAATGAGTTTTCCGTTCCTGGCGGCACAAGCTATTTGTGTTAAACGAACCAGCCTTACAGAGCAAGCTGTTATGAGGTTCCAAGGACAGGCAGTTTTGGTGGCGTAGTTGTGCTCCGCCGCCGCCGGTGTCCGTAATCTCTATACCTGACGGTGAAAAAAAAAAAAAAAAACACGTCCAGGATTGGGTAGGAATTCAAGATCCCTGCGTGGCAGCAGTAGAGTATTTTGTGGTCGCATATTCTTGCCCCCCTTGTCATACCCCCTCCACGCAGCGAGCGCTCACTTGCATGACAGCAGAGAAAAAGCGCTTGAAGCGAGTGAAAAATTCTTTTAAGTTGGCCTTCACTTGATGTGGTAATAAAAACTTTTTCGGCCGTAGATTCGCGAGGCAACACTTTCATTTAATGAAGTCTTTTGGGTATTACTTTCAAAAGTGTGGCCTTTATTATTTTGGCGATGGTATTACGGAGTACGTTTTACTTCACGGTCAAGGTATTCTAAAATATGTTTGAAAAATAAATATTATAAGGACAGCGGAAGGGGGCGATACTAGCATAGAGTATCCTAAAATAACAAGAGGAGGCTCTGGCGGTGCGATCGTTCAGCGACCATGGGAATGATAGGTAGCGTACGCATTTGATTAGTCTTCGTACTTATGGGCCTCGAGTCACGTTTTCGACTTCCTTTATTGCTATGTTTCGGTTTTGTTTTCAAGGAAAGACCAAACCCTTTTGAACTTCGTGGCCCGATTTGAAATAACGAACCTAAAAGGCTTAAGTAATGAAGTGTAACTGCTGAATATTTGCTGTTTTTTTTTTGTTCTGTAACAAATCAGCTCCAAGCCACACGAAGCCAACCGGACCCAAAAGTACGAAAATTGGACAAATCCGTATATTATACGCATAATTCCAATGCTCGCTGAATTCCTGTGCGCTGCAGCTCCCGTAGACACTTGCACCAGAGTTCCCTCTAGTGTATTATTAGGAAAGTCTATGAGCAAAGGATGCCTTCCGTCTGTTGGCTTAACACAATAGAAGTCAGAGGACCCCCTTCTCCACAATTTATCAGTGACCTTATCACATCAATTTCTAATTGACGCTGTCGCTTGTGCAGACGCAAAAGATCCGTGCCAGTTGTCACCATGTCTGGAGTGAATACGTGCCAGAAGAAATCCACTGGCGTCCGCTTCGCGGCTGTGCTCTTTGTGGTGGTGTTCGCAGCTTCCCAAGTGAGCAACTCCGTGCTTGCAAACGAAGACGTCCGCGCCGACAAGGTGGTCTGGGCCAACGCCACTGCTCCTCCGGCTAACAGTCGCCGCGCCCATGAGCCTGTATCCCATCTTGCCAACGCCTCTAGTCACAACCTTCACTATGCCAACCACAGCCAGGCCAACCCCAATAACTAGACATAGCTGGAGAAGAAACCAGCCAGAGCTCCCTGAATAAAGCTACAAATCTCACGTTACAAATGGTCTTTTTGATATTGTTCCCCACTTAGTGAATTGCTGCAGTAAAACTGAAAATTGACCTTGTTTGTTCCTCCCGAAAATTTTCATCCTGAACTGCACCTGCATGCCATCACCACCAAATATTTACACTGCTACTTCTAGGTAAATGGTAGAAAAATTATAAGAAAAGCGATAGGCATAACCTTAAAAGACAAAAAAGAGAGCAGATTGTGTCAGCGAAAAAAAAAACCGCGGTTAAGGATATCATATAGTTGAAATCAAGAAGAAGAAATGGACATGGGCCGGGCACGTAGAACGTAGGTAGCATAACTGCTGGTCATTAAGGGTAACTGACTGGGTCCCCAGAGAAGGCGAATTCACGAAGGGAAGACAGAAAGTTACATGGGACGATGAGATTAAAAAAGTCACTGTTTCGCCGGAAGGGCGAAGCAATGCATGCGACAGCAACAACTTGGAATTTAACGCTGACAACGTCAAGCAGATCGAAACGTGCAGTGTGCTGCACACGCACAAATAACGCACGAAAAGAGCACACGCAGGACAAGAGCCAACTAACAACGTTTAAAGCTCGACACTTAACGCGCAGTTTGAACAAAAACGAGGCACGAAACATAATCAAAGGTACATATATGAGCGCTAACAAGCGCCCTAGTTGTTACTTCGCTGCGTTTGAAAAGCACGCTCTTTTTCCAAACGAGGCGCGTTTAGCGAGTGAAGTGACCTTTGTGCGCCCAGCAACTAAACACAATCATTTCGGTTAAAATCGCGCGAGTCTCCCCCGCCATAGGATAAGTGCACGGATTAAGCACTATTCTTCAACGGAGCTATGAATGCTTGGGAGATGAGCGCGCATCAGCGCATCGCGACAAGCTGGGCTTACTGCGAGCTAGAATGCCTCGATGCGTTCTCCTCCACTTCGTTCAGAGTGGAGTAAAGTGCGTCGTCTGCTACAGCAGTCGTCATTATTTGGCCCACTGCTCAACGCGCATACTGCAAGCGCGCGGCTTCACGGCCTTTTGCTCTCGAGTAAAGGCACTTTGTGCTGGAATCGCTTTCACCAGCGCGACATTGCTCACAAATGCTGCTACTCGTGAGTTTGTAGGTACGCATGCCAACAAGTAAACGATTGTTTTGCGCCTGAAATTGTTGCAGAACGTATCGATCCTGTATCGATATGGCAATCACTTATCAATATGACGTTTCACTTGATGCCGGCACTTATCTCCACCCACACTCTGTCGTCTTTAACACTCTTTCCCTACCTACCCTTATATACAAGCACTCAATAAACGAGGCATTCTTTTTACTGCTCAAAAGTGGCCTACGCGCATCGTTCATAAGTACCCGACACCGCACCCAACAGATCCTGACTGGCGACGTGGCCACTCGGCTGCTGGCTGCGGCTGAGTGGTGCACAGCTGCAGACATCACTATTTATTTCTATACTTTGCGGGTAAATACGTTCGTAGGCTTTTAGGGGCGAAGCTCCTTATGGCGAGGCTTGTGCGTCCCTCGTAGTACGTAACCACCAGTGGCACATACCCGAAATAGGTATAACATTTGACCTCCAAGTTGGTGCCGATGAGAGATTCCTTCTGTGCGTTGTTTAACAATAAAAGATAGTGCTCAATGTACATGCCAATGGCTGCTAATGGAGAATGAGAGACAGGATCATTCGGCTTTTAGTCAACGCGCACGCTGCGATCCCCATTAGCAGCCATTGGAATGTACATTGAGCACTATCGGGCAAGAAAGGGTTGCTACATTATACTCGCTGGGCGTAACCTCCTTAGTTTTAGAGAGGTTTAGCGAGCGTTGAGCCGCAGGGCCATGAATACAATGAACTAGTATATACCATGAACTCGAGGTGGGTAAAGGTGGGAAGTAGATACGAAGCGCAAGCCGTAAGAAAGTAAAAGCCGAATTCTCCTGTCTCTCATTTCCCATTAGCAGCCACTGGCATGTACATTGAGCACTATCTGACAGGAAAAGGTTGCTACGTTATACTCGCTGGGCGTAACCTCCTTGGTTTTAGAAAGGTTTAGCGAGCATTGGGCCGCAGTGCCATGAATACAGTGAACTAGTATATACCATGAACTCAAGGTGGTTGAAGGTGGGAAGTAGACCCGAAGCGCAAGCCGTAAGAAAGTGTGCATGTGCCACCTCTCGTTTAGTCCTTGGAATGTTCACTGAATGGCGGTGCTTCTATATGGGGAATATATGATAAAAAGATGCGAGATGGCGGGACTTGGAGGGTTGAATAGATGGACGAACGGACACACAGACAAATGCATGGATGGACGCATGAACGGACGCAGGGGCGGATGCATGAACGAACGCAGGGATGGGCGCACGAACAGACGCATGGACGGTCACACAGACAGACGCATGGACGGACGAATGCTTCTCCCCACTCTCCATCATTCACTCTATGGATATGCTGCCATTTTTTTTTTCTGAAGGCATGACATGTTAGCTTTATTAGGACAAGTTCGAGATACGCGGAACATTGTAAATTAGAAAACGGTGATGGAAAGGCATGATTCCCCAGATTATCAAAAAGAAAAAACCGTGCAATAATGCCCCTACCATTAAGGCACAAAATATATGCTTTTATGTACGCCTGACGTTGTTCTAGCTCGAATTCTTGAAGTTCGACAGACAGTATTTAGACGCGCACTGTAGTGTCCCCGTCTTTTAGATGCGGAGCATCTAATACTCGAGGCTTGTAGTGCGGCGCCGTCCGCAAGCTTCCTCCTCCTTCTTCCACCATCTGTGCATCCCTTCCTCCTCTACACACCGCGCGCGCTTCACTCCTCCACCATCTGTGCACCCTTCCTCCTCTACACACCGCGTGCGCTTCTCCTCTTCACGAACATTCGCTAGCTGTATAATGTAGCGCGCATGCGCCGTCACGCTTCGAGAACATCGGCAGCTGACGCGCGCGCATGCGCCGTTGCGCTTCTCCCCCTTCTCGAACATTCGACAGCTGACAGTGCATGCGCCGTCGCGCTGTATATATACTCAAGGTCGGCGCTCGCTCGCTCAGTTGCCGCTCGTCGGTTGGTTTGTACGGCGCGTCGACGTCCAAGGTCGCGGTGAAATGAATTCCAACGAATCCACAAACACAATGATCGACGTCCCTTCGACCAGCGCCGCCCTTTCGCATACGTGTGTACGTGTTCACTCATTTAACTACCCCTCCTACAACCACGTTAACCAATTTAGCCATCGACCCAAGTAAGTCGCAATTTAACACCCCATTTCACAACCACGTTAACCAATTTAGCCATCGACCCAAGTAAGTCGCACTTTAACACCCCATTTCACAACCACGTTAACCAATTTAGCCATCGACCCAAGTAAGTCGCACTTTAACACCCCGTTAACCAATTATATGCTCCGTATCCTCCTCAGTGTTCCCCCGAGGGAAGCTGCGGGCAATTTTTTTTTTATGTGACAGCGCAACGCATCCAGTGAAAAAATGAATTACCGAAACATAAAAACATCACATTATACCCACGGAGTAAATGATGATTGGGACGAAGCATCCATCCGTGCATGCGTCCATGCGTCCGTCTCTCTGTCCGTGTGCTACGCTGGCTACGCCGGAGGCACGCGGGACGGCCCTAGACCATAAGGAACTTCGCCCCTAAAATGTGAAGGCAGCTCCCGCAGATTGGATGGTTAGATTAGATGTGGAGTGGTAATAAACTAAAATGGTATATATCGGAACACGGCCTTTCCGTCCCATTCCTAATTGCAGGCTCGCTCAGGCAGGTTTCGATTTTATAACTGCTAACAACTCCGCTATTAGCTAACAGGCGCACATGCACCAATGACATTCAAAGCCGTTTGAAGTCAGCTTAGACATAACTATTCAGATCCAAATCAGGGTTTCTACCGCTGAACGGCGATCGTATGGTCTTACTGCCGCAAATGGGTCATTTCCAAGCAATCCCAGAACTCCACGAGGGTACACGAAACACTATAGGGAAAACCTGCACGTTGAGTGCGCTGTCTGTTCCATCGCCTCCATTGGTGTCATGCGATCCAATAAAAATAAAAGCATCCAATATAAAAAAAATGTAGCCACTTTTCACTACAATCAAATCCTAAATACTACACATATTTGAACGCACTTGCATGCATCTATACGCACGAATTGCGAAAGAGATAAGTGTCTATTAGTTCATATTGATACACAACAGCCGGCACAGCCCGGCTGCAAGAAAGAGAAAGAGGACGTTGGTGGCTGGTTGTTGATGAACTGACGCCATCTTGTTCGCCGAGCACGGTGCATCGTATTTAATTTATTAAATAAGTTACCCGTAACATTATTGGTGGAGGTGGACGACTCCCGTACCTAGATGGAGACGCGCAGCAGTCCCAACACCGGGGACTCTTCGGCTACTTCAACTGCCAGTGCCTCATCCGCACCGGTCTCTCGATCCGAGTCGACAACCTACGTCACCCTGCCACCCCAGCGGGATCCTGGAACTTTCTCCGCTGACGGTACCATCGACGTTTATTTTTTTATTTTTTTTATTTATCGTACCCCCAGGGCTTTACAGCATTGCAGAGGGGAGCGGGCACTGACGAACAATGTTAAAGAAAAGAATACATAGACAAGACACTAGAACATTATTAAACACTGGAAAGCAACTATTATCAACTGCAATTATGTTATACAGCCAGTAGATTATACAAGAAAACTAGCAACAAAATCAAGCGTTTACATTTCCAACACCAAGTATGTTATCGAGCGATGTTTTAAAACTGCAAGGCGAGGTGATGGATGCAACTGATTGTGGGAGGTAATTCCAATCATTGCAAGTTTTAGGCAGGAATGAGTGGGAATATGTTGATGTCTTGAAGCGAGGAACAGCAACTTTCTGCACATGGTCAGTACGAGTTGAAATGTATGACGGTGGGGTTATTAAAAGTGAACGCAGAAGGGAGTTGTTGTAAATTTTGTGGAAGAGTACGAGACGGGATAT